GCCCAGTGTAAAGGAAACAGGACCCTCGAGGATTGAAAACGGTTATAAGAATCCGTTTAGGGAAAAGTGATTATTCCCAGTGCATCTCTTTTGAATAGCGGAATTTGGCCTGTTCTTACACCTGGAAGAATGAATGACACCTCCCAGTGGATGACTGCCACCTTCAGGCTGTGGTGGCACCAGATCAGACCCTAGTCCCAGGCCCCAACATTATGGGAATTACTGCCTCCATCCACTGAGCGACTGGTACACATTCTGCTATCACAGATTTGGCCAAATCTGGTCTGTTCAGTGCCTGTGTCAGTAGCCTCCCAGCTGCACTTGGCTTTCATCTCTGAAGGGACATGACACACTCTTACCTGGTTCCCCTCAGGGAACCTCAGCAGCAGTGCCACTGCACATAGTCTCTGCAGGTAAGATCTGAGTTGTGTTTACCTTGCTTCAAAAGAGACATGACATTAATGACATTCTCTTTTGTGGACATTCATTTGACATTGAGGACATACATATTTTAGAAAAAGGAGCCCACAAAAGAGGATGCGCCATTGTCCCAGACATATTTTGAGGCCCTAATGCCTTGGTTACAGTTTTTAAAATTAATAAACAGAAGCCACTCAATTTGTGACACCATGAAGAAATAGCTGTTGTCCCTCTCAGGACCCATGACATTGTCTGGATTCTTTTGTGTTGAGAGGCAACATATTCCTTGTTTACTAACTTTATTTGAGCCCATTTATGCCATTTCTTAGAACCTGCCCCACCTAGAGTGGGCACCCCTACCATCGAAGGCTCTAGACTGTTTAGTCGCCATACAGCAGCCACACCTGATAGTGTCCTCGGAGACTCCTTCACTATAAGGTTTCACTGACCACCTCCCACATCTCCTGGAGTTACCCATGATGGCTTTACGTTGTAATTTCTGTCTCCCTTTTCTTAGTTATGTTGACTAGGTGTTTATCAGTTTTATTAATCTTGTCAAAAACAGCTTTTTGTTTTGTTTTGTTTTGATGTGAGTTTGTTACTTAAAGAACTGCAAGACTATGTATAATAAATTGTCCAGTACTAAAGTTATGTTAACACAGAATTCAAGAAATGACTGGCCGTGCACAGAGACTTGGAAGTACCTCGAGAGGCCAAACCGTGAACTGAGGTTGGCTGTTGCTAGTGCCAGGCTTGGGCTGCTCAGCAAGAGCTATGGGGCAGGCTGAGGTCATATGCTTCTTGTTTGGATTTTGTGAACCTTTGAGAGATTTTAAGAGAGTCCACAGCATAGGCCAAGAGAAGCATTTTGTGTGGAAAAGCCACTGGAAGCAGCTTGGGTGGGCCTGCCGGTTGGGAGGGGTGGGGTCTTAGGGAATCACCAGGGTAGAAGGAAAGGTGTTAGGTTGATGGAGATTCAGATATGGTGGCCATCTGTGTCTGCAGCTTAGGTGGAGGGTGGGGCTTGACAAAGAAACAATGGATTCTGCCAGCACTTCTTTCTGGGAGTAAGCTGCCCCTCCTTAACCTTTAATAAGCTGTTTTTTCATTTCGTTTAGTTTAAATAATTTTAAATTTCTCTTGTGATGACCTCTTTGATCCCATGTATTATTTAGAACTGTGTTATTGAATCTGCACACATTTGGTGGTTTTTCCACCTATCTTTCTATTAGTTGTTTCTAGATTAATGTCTGTGGTATGAGCATATTTTGTATGAAATCTGTTTGTTTGTTTTTTTAATTTGTTAAGCTATGTTTAATATCCCAGCATGTGTTCTGTCTTGGTGAAGGTTCCATGTGAATTTCAGAAGAATGTATATTCTTCTGTTTTTGCATGAAGTTATTACAGTGATTTAAAATTTTAAATCATAGATTTTAATCATAGATTATAATTCTTAAATCAAATTTTGTTGTTACATAGTAGTATTCAGTTTCACTCTGCTGTTCATGACTTTCTGCCACTGGAATTTATAATTTGTGATAAGAGGGTATTGAAATCTGCAGATATAATACTGGATTCCTTTATTTCTTCTTGCATTCTCTCTGCTCTTGCCTCATATATTTTGCCCCTGTGTTATGTACATACATATAAAGGATTGCTGTGCCCTCTTGGAGATGGACTCTTTTGTCATTAAGTAATGTTCCTTTATCTTTGAAGGTTTTTATTTTGGGGGGGTTCAAAATCTGCATTGTCTGAAATTCATATCCCCATGCCAGCTTTTCTTTGATTACTGTTGTCATGGTACATTTTCTCAATGCCTTTACCTTTTATCTATCTGTGTCTTCATATTTAAAGTAGGTTTCTTATGAACAACATATAATTTTGATTTTTTAAATTTGATATTATAGTACTGTATTAGTCTTTCAGTTGTAGTTATACCATAATGATTAAAGTAGCGATTGATACAATTGGGTTAATTAACTACCACAACTTGTCCTGTTTTCTATTTGTTGTTCTGTTCTTTGTTTCTTTTTGTCGTCAACCTTTTTTTCTGCCTTCTCTGACTTTAATAGGGAATTTGACCTGATTTCTTTTTCTTCTCTCTTGTGTCAGTTATACATATTTTCTTAAACTCTCACTGTCCCTTGTCACATTGCTTTTATTTATTTCAATTACCCATAGCTTGAAATTACTAAATACATAATTGCTAATATCATAAACCAAATGTCATGTATTGAATGATAATAAATAAAAAGATATTTTACCTTTATTTTTTCTGATCCTCCATGTTTATCATTTACATTCTTTCTGATGAGTTTTTGAACATTTTATTCAAAATGGTTGTACTATTGAAAAATTTCCTCAATTTTTATCTCAGTAAGTTTTTATTTCTCTATTTTTGAATGGTAAGTTTGTCTGATGCACAATTTTAGGTGATGGTTTTCTTCTTTCAAAACTTTAAATATTTCACTCCATTCTCTTCTTGCTTGCCTTATTGCTGAAAAGAAATCTTTGCGTCTCTCTTACTAAGGTGTTTACCCCCTGGCTTCTTTCATTATATTCTCTTTGTCTTTGACTTTTGTCTAGTGTGAATATAAGATACTTGGGTGTGCATTTCTGTTGTTTTACCATATTTAATGTTCTCTGGCTATCCTGAATCTTGTCACCTTATCATTCATTTTAGGAAAATCTCAGTGATTATTACTATACTGGTTTCCCCTGTGCTTTTCTGTCTTTCTTTTCCTTTAGGTATTCCCATCATGTGTAGTAAACCTTCTGTTTAAAGAAGGTTCTCCTCAGGTTCGTGGATATTGTATTCTGTCTTTGTTTGTTTTTTTGGTGTGTGTGTGTGTGTGTGCGATTGTTGTTGTTCTTTGTCTTTGCATTAGACTTTGCCGAAATAGATCTTCTTGAATACAAGCCAGGTTAGGAAAAGACTGTTTGAGTATATTTCAAATGTAGTGTTTGTCATCTCTTTCTGAATTTTGGAGACACTGGGTTGCCCTGTGACCTAAATGCTCTGATAGAGCTAAGAAAATTTCATTTCAAGTTTTTTTTTTTTTTTCTTGTGAGTTTGGGAATGACAGCTTCTAAATTATTTAAATGCCAGACCAGAAATCCGCAGTCTCCTGCTCCAGGTCTTAATGACTGATGACCGACAGCTTTAGAGCCTCATCCCTCCTCATTCTTCCAGTGCCCCACATCTGTACAAGGTGATAAGAAGCCTTAGTGTGTCCTCCTTTGGGGAAGCAAGAGATTGAATCCGTACAAGCTCCTGCCCTTGTGTGTGAACACTCACCTTAGGTCACCCCCAACCTCAATAAAAAAACAAGTCCGTGCACCTTTCCTTGTCCTCTCAGTCTATCTTATGCCTCTTTTGAGGCCTGCCATACTCTCTGCAAAGACTCAATTGTGGAAGTATAATAACCCCTTCCTTTCATGCCCCATTGGCCATGTGTGATGTCATCAGCTGAGGGATTCCCATGAGCTATCAAGCTTCTTTACTCTCCAGAGGAGCTCGGAAATGACAGAAGAAAGGAGGGCAGCCTGTAGAGTGACTGGTGAGGAAACACTTCCTCCGGATTGGGGAATGGAGACGTTATGTTCTATTGGAAAAAATCACTGCTGCAGCCTCTATGGATTCTATAATCACGAAGAAGTTTGCTATCAAACCATTGTGGACATCAGTGAACTCCTTGCAGTCCAAAGTTCTTAACCAGAGATTCAGTGTCAGCAGGGCCAAGGGTAGACTGTTAGATTGTGATGGAAAGAGCACTTCTGGCATATTATTATCTCAGAATTGTGCCAATGTCTGCCAAACATTGGCTGGAAGCAGCCCTGAGGCATAGGGATTTGATGTTCTAAGTCGTCAGGCCTTCTTGCTTGTGTCTGAGCTCTAAGTTCCAAATATCTTTCTAGACCATCAGATCAGAGGGAGAAAGTAAGAACTGAGTAGTCTGTGATAAGTTTTACATCAGATAAGAGCAGTGCTTGTCCACAATAATTATTTTCATTCAGCCAGCTGCTACAGTTACTTCTAATGTTCTGGAGGAATTTGGGACAACATGGCCAGGTGGGCTTTGTTAAAAGTTGGATTTCTACAGGCCTCCTGGACTCTTAGGTTTAGTGATAGGAATAGAACAAAAAGCTTGTAGTTCTTCACTGTTTTAATTCTTTAAAACCTTATGCAGATGTTAACATCTGCCTCGTGGAGTGCTGTAAATGGTGGGAAATAAGGAGGTGAAAGAATTTTTCTCTCAAGGAATCGATGATCTTAAAATAATGTAACTTGTTTTACTTGAATAGCATTTTTGTCATTTCCCAGCATTCTATGAATACTGCCATTAGAGACGAATGAGATATAATGTGATTACAAAAAGAATATATAAATAATTTCCATGTGTTTATGATTCTGTTAAATTTATGAGAAAGTAAATTTGGACAGAGTGATTGTATGATGATTAAGTCATGAAATACTCAGAGACAAAAGAATCATACTTAACCTTCTTATAAATGAAGTCTAGATGTGGAGTGTTGTCATTCTTATGCATTCTACTGTACACATATTTGGGATATTTTAGGACTCGGTGGCTTTTGAGGATGTGGCTGTGACCTTCACTCTGGAGGAGTGGGCCTTACTGGATCCTTCACAGAAGAAACTCTACAGAGATGTGATGCAGGAAACTTTCAGGAACCTGGCCTCCGTGGGTAAGGATGACAAGTTAACTTCACTTTGTTAGAGAACAAGTTTTCTTAACTCATTAATATTATTCTCAGATGAAGAATGTGAAAAGGGAGAATATTGATAAATAAACTAGGCTAGTCACAGCTCATCGTAGAGCTGGAATCTAAGAATTTTTCTCTGTAATCTTTTTTTTTACATCTCCATTTTAGGAAAGAAATGGGACAATCATGACATTGGAGGCCAGAACAAAAACTGGAGGAGAAAACGAAGGTGAGTCACAATAGAAAGCACCATCTCACGTGAGAAACCTGTTATGCTGTGAAATTTAAAAAAGAAGCAACCAAAGCAACTCTTGCTTCAAATTTATTCTCAGAAAATCTCACCAAATTATTTTCTTATATGACAAATATATTCAGTGTTTGAAAAGTAGTTCAAATGGAAAATACCATTAATAAGCCCTATATATGAATATCACTGTTTTGGTAATAGCAAGACTGAATCCTCTTGCAGAGCAGAGCATTTAGTACATGTATTCAGTTTCAAATCATTCAGACGGGAAAGCTTACAGTTTTGCTACAAATCATGAAAATATAGTTTAAATGCTCTAATAATTATAAAATCATTAATGAAGGAATAATTAGTAATGTGCTTCTCAATTTTTACAGAAGTTTAATATTAGAGAGACACTGTGAAGGTGAAAAGAGTAGTCAATGTGGAGAAAACTTCAGCCTTATTTCAAATCTCAATCTGAAGAAAAAAATTCTTCCTGAAGTAAAACCACGGAAATACAGTGTGTGTGGAAAAGTCTTCATGAATCATTCATCCTATAATATGCACATCAGTCGTCACACTGGACCCAAGCCATGTGAAGATCAAAATAATGAAGACAAGTTATATAATTATAATGTATGCGAGAGATCCTTCAGTTATCTCCAGTGTTTTGAAAAACTTGAGAGAAATCACAATGGAGAGAAAACCTATAAATGTAAGGAATGTGGGAAAACCTGTAGTTCTTCAACTTCACTTCAAATACATGAAAGATCTCACACTGGAGAAAAACCCTATGAATGTAAGCAGTGTAGTAAAGCATTCAGTTGTCTCAGTTCTCTTCGACGTCATGAAAAAATTCACACTGGAGAGAAACCCTATGAATGTAAGGAATGTGGAAAAGCCTTCAGATACTATCAAAATTATCGAAGACATGAAAGTAAATTCACTGGAGAGAAGCCCTATGAATGTAAGGAATGTGGAAAAACCTTCATATGTTATCAAAGTTTTCGAAGACATGAAAGAAATCACACTGGAGTGAAACCATATATTTGTAAGGAATGTGGTAAAACATTTAGTTGTCTCCGTTATCTTCGAAAACATGAAAGAAATCACACTGGAAAAAAACCCTATGAATGTAAACAATGTAATAAAGCATTTAGGTATCCCAGTGATCTTCAGAAACATGAGAGAAATCACACTGGAGAGAAACCCTTTGAATGTATGGAATGTGGTAAAGCCTACAGAGATTACAGTTCTTTACAAGCACATCAAAGAACTCATTTTGGAGAGAAACCCTATGAATGTAAGGAATGTGGTAAAGCCTTTAGTTCTCATCAATGTGTCCAAATTCATGAAAGAAATCACACTGGAGAGAAACCCTATGAATGTAAAATATGTAGCAAAACATTTGGTTATCCCAGTTCTCTTCGATATCATAAAAGAACACATACTGGAGAGAAATCATATGAATGTAAGGAATGTGGTAAAGCTTATAGATATCTCAGTTCCTTACGAATACATGAAAGAATTCATACGGGAGAGAAACCTTATGAATGTAAGGAATGTGGAAAAGCCTACAGATGTTACCAAAGTTTTCAAACACATGAAAGTAATCACACTGGAGAGAAACCGTATGTATGTAAAAAATGTAGTAAAGCATTTACTTGTCTCCATTACCTTCGAAAACACGAAATAAATCACACTGGAAAGAAACCCTATAAATGTAAAAAATGTAATAAAGCATTTAGGTATCCCAGTGATCTTCAGAAACATGAGAGAAATCACACTGGAGAAAAACCCTTTGAATGTAAGGAATGTGGTAAAGCCTACAAAGATCAAAGTTCTTTACAAACACATGAAAAAACTCATACTGGAGAGAAACCCTATGGATGTAAGGAATGTGGAAAAGCCTTCAGATGTTATCAGAGTTTTCAAACACATGAAAGAAATCATACTGGAGAGAAACCATATGTGTGTAAAAAATGTAGTAAAGCATTTACTTGTCTCCGTTATCTTCGGAAACATGAAAGAACTCACACTGAAGAGAACCTCATGAATGTAAGCAATATGGAAAAGTCTACATTTATCACGCAACCTTTTGAAAATGTGAAAATGCACACTGGAGGAAAACCATATTAATATGCAGAATTTGGGAAAGGCTTTGGTTATCCCAGTTTCTTTCAAAAGCATAAAAGGACTCACTGCATAAAATTTCTAGATATAAACAGCATGAGAAAGACTTGAATTGGTCTACATTCTTACAAGTGAAAATTCCCTCCAAAAAAAAGAAAAATGTAAGTAACGTGAGAAAGTTTAATAGAAATTAATTTATGTATAATATGCCAGAAAGTTTTCAACATGCAAGTTTTTATTAATGTTGAAATATATTGTGTTTGTTGAACCTCTTCTTCATTGGACTGGATTCTACTAATTTCAGAAATGAATACTTATGTGAGATATTTCTGAGAGTTGTCTTTCAACAATAGTACACAAAATAAGTAGGTAGTATTTTTTCCTTAAAACATTTAATAATATTTTATCTCCATTTTGAAGCCTGTTAGATACATGGGTGAATTGAAATATGTTTTTTATATACAGTTAGGTTGAATATCTTTTTACAATATTTTATTTTTTACAGGGTCATTGAAAAATTACAATTTGATATTTGGGTTTTCCTAGTGGTCTAGTGGTATCCTTTTTATCCCTAGTCCATGATATTTATTCTACGTTTCCCTTGGACAAAGCTCTTTTTTGGGAGCGATGGGGATAAGAGACTTTTTCTATTTTCTATACTAAGAAATAGTTGGAATAAATTTTATGTGTGGCTAGTTTAGGAAAGAATATAGTTATATGTGAATTATTTTCATATTTGGGCCTTTGCTTTTTGTCCTTCCTTTGGATTCATGTTTGTGAATAGACGTTGAATTAAGAAGAGGGACCTGTGATAGGGCAACAAAATCTAAAGCTGGAGATTTTCCCTCCCATTGGGTAATGGTAGGAACTTGATTTTCCGGAAACCATCTCCTTTAAGGTCAATGGTAGAATTTCTTAGTAGGCTCACTTGCATGAGATTTGGAAGACAAAAATGAAGAAGGCATTAGTCAGATTATGGAGCCAACATTCAAACAAACAGATAATAAGAGCTTCAAGAACATCTTCCAATCCATTATCAAAACCACCAACAACTAACTGTCTGATATTCATTTTTGGAGAAGCATGCATTTCCACTGATGTCTTCACAAAATTCACATTAAAGATACATTAGAGTTAGGAGTTTTCTGTAAACCCTCTTGTGTCTACCAGAAAACTGATTCAAACTTTCATGCTTATGTCTGATTCCTCTCTTCTTTAGTTATATATGTATAAGGTCTAATTTGTATAGGAAACAATTTCCACTGTCAGCAGTGCCAGTGAGCATATTTTCCTTGTTCATAATGACATCTACAGTGGTGCCATCAAAAAAAAAAAAAAAAAAGCAACGGTCAGGAAGACTGTGGGTGTTTTACTTGTAGCTGATTGTAATCCCTCAGTATGTTTTCAGTCATGTTTGATTGTGTGTGATTAAAAGTTCATGTATTTTCTTGTCAAGTGAAAACTCCTGTAGGTGTTTCATAAAAGTTTTAATGGTTGTCTAAGCTCTTGTGTGCTAACAAATATTGTGTTTTTCATTTCCCGAGAAAATATGTTAAAATGTCCCATTATAATTACAGGTTTTCAAATGAACTTTGTAATTCTCTTCATTAATCATTATAGTTTATAGGTTAATTTTATCAGGTGCTTTCAAGTTCAAGTAATTTTTTCTCAGGCATATTTTATGTTTTATTCTTTTAGAATAACATTTTTTGTCATGACTCTTAATTGTCCTTCATGCCTAATCCCAAAACCTGAAAGTAGTTTTTTAATGCCCTCTTGCCAATGACCTGCAGGACTGTACCTGTAGTCAAAGAGAGGAGAATAATGAATTCTAATAATAAGAGTGACCATAGAGTACACATGGCTGTGGGTGTCACATAAAAGATTGCTCAGGACTTTGATAGGTTTTTAATATTATATATATTTAATAGAAATGAATGACATTCCTTTTCATATCCTGAGAGAATATTAAGCTCCCCTGAACCTTGATTTCTATGTTTTTAGCACTTCTTTTCACCACTGTAGGATCCTTCTTGGGAAAGATTGAAGGTCTGCAGGGAAAAATTCAGTCCCCACCAAGCATTTCTTGCAGCCCTGTCTCAATTGAGAAAGCGTCCTCTAGGGTTGCACTGCCATCATCTCATGCACGTAACTAGAAGTGAAGTGGAAGGGTTCCCAGGTCTGTCTTTGGGTTTAAATCAGGCTGCTTGGATAGATCTCTTGGACATTCTGTGGCTCTGAGACATAAAGGTACGTTCCAAGTGGGATCTGCCTGGGGACATACTGCCAGTCATGGGCATCAGCATCATTTGCTTCCATTGCCTCCACAGCTTATTTTCAGCTCTTTGCTTCCCAACTCAAGTCATCTTCAGAAATCCATCATATCGCTCTCTGGAAAAATCTCTCTGAGCAGGAAGCTGTGAGTTGAAAGAGTGACAGAAGCAGTTGGCAGAACCTCTGTCATGTGTACATTCTGTCAGCCGCAGTGTCCACAGCCATCACAGATTTATGAGATATGCTTGCTTACTTTTACACAGTACTTAAAAAATTTACTGACATAGAATGAGGAAACAAATCGCTGAAGAACTCATCCAAGTACCAGTCACTCCCTATTGTCTCCTCAAAACACTCCTTTATTATAGTAGCTTTAGCAGCCTCCTATCATGCAGCTCAGTGTCTCTAGACTGCTCATAGTGGACTCAACTACGCAAGGAATTCTTGTACCAGAAACTTCTTGTTAACTGGTGCTACACATAATTAGAGAAGTGCTGCTGGCAACTGACCGTCTTTTTGTAAGTGTAGCCCCTTTCAGGACCTTCCTTGATGACCCTCCACAGCCATCTTCCCGTTTTGACGTGGGTCGTGGATGCAGCACTCAGGTTTGCTAATCAGAGGCTCCTCATTGAAAAGGTGTCGTACTTGCAGGACAGAGCAGTACTTAGTCTCTCTGGTATGTCCCACTTATAGGATAGGAGGAGGTGTGTTCCCCTCACATTGATCTATTGATTCTGGAGCAAGTCACCTCCTTTGTAAGCACTTTGGCCATTTTGGGAGTCACTGGGGGATCACATGAGTGACCATGGAGTTAATATACTCTATGGACAGTGTGTTGCCACCACACCTGATGAAGTCCACTGAAGAGATGTTGCACTTTGTCCCTAGATTGAACAGGCCTGATCAAAGATTGGACCCAAGCATCAGATTCATTAGTCAAACTCCAGATAATTATGCTGGCATTAGAGAGTTCCCTGGCCAAGAACAGAACTCATCTGTTCATTTTTACAGATACTTTGGCCATTGATGATCTGTGACCCCACCAATAGCAACAACTTTGTGCAAGGTTACCCCTTTCACATAACTAACTCTGTGAATAACTTTCCCGAACTACTAATCAAGGCCACCTCTCACTTTTCACATATTAACCTGAATCTGCAGAGGCTCATTTTAGTGCTCAAGGAGATAAGTTGACTTGAATTTCTTACCACATACTTACACCTGAGATCTATTGGTATTAACTCTGGCCCTTTGAGCTCTCCTAACTGGTAGCCATTTAGAGGTCACTAATTTAAATGTTAGGCAAAATTCAGGGGCTTCTCATCTCTATCATGCCTAACTTAGTGACTGACTAATGCATCCAATGTAAAAAAAACACGCCACTAGTAATATAGTCAATGGACATACTTTCCAGGCCAAGGAAGGGGCTTCTATAGCTGATAGGAAACAGACATTATAGGGCTCCTCACTCCCTCTGCTGGCTACTTGCTCTGCTCTGACCATGGCAGATACTTATAAAGACAAATTCTTTATCTTACCATAACGACCTTTCTGAAACTAAATGCAAGGACTCACCAGGACACTAGAAATTATTGATATTATCAACTCAATTTAGAAAATATAAAACACCGGGCTTTTGAAAAAGGCATTCAATGGACCTACCTCTGTTTCGACCTATTAGTATGTATTAATGGCTTCCTTAAACCTTGTTCTTGTAGATCGCTCTTTCTGCTATTTATGGCATTAGTAGAGTCAGTCCCAGACTTTGAGGCCAATTACTTTATTCTGTTCATCAGGTTTACTGATTCCTTATAAATAGAGGTCTTTCTATACTGGACATTTCTGTCAGTATGGTCACTCCTAGAGTCTTTGGTGTCTTGTAACAGTGGACCCCAGCCATCACTCATATCCCATTCCTGGGTCTTCCATGTAACATCACTGTAATCTGTGTACATGGCATGTCAGTATGTCATTTTGAGCACCCTCCTTCAAAACCGTTCTGGCTCACCCAACACAAATACACTGTTTTCCTACCAATTGCACTTACGCACTCATTGGGAGTCACTGGTACTGACCTGACATACGTGATGTCATTCAGCAAACATATCATTAATACCAACTGAGAAAAGTTCAAAACACTGAAAATACATGTAGCAGACAGTTAATGCTCCAGATGTTTTCCTTGAGAGAAAACCTGACAGCCATGGTGGCTGATGACCACTTGGCTTTGAACTATTGTTAGCAGCCAGGGAGAGTTTTGTTCTCCTAAAAGAACTGCTTGCTGCATGTGGGTAGGCTACACTGGCAAGATGTCACCAATAATACAAGAAATGAGAACAAATAAAAATAATATTATTAAAATAATTGATCCACCTTGGAAACCACCTTGACACACTTCTTTGGATCTCTCCAACACCGTGGGATGATTACATTTATATACTTTTTTTGAATCTTTGTCGTATTCATTATAATGTATTGCTTGTGCTTTTCACATGGCTTTAAACTTAGTATTCAAATTTAAATTCATATGTAGCTTTGGCTTATTCACTCAACACACCTCGGCAGTGAATGTTAATAGACACCTCGTTTTTTATTTTGACTCTTAATCAGCTTTAGATACCTACTCACTGTGTCTGACCCACAATGGATAAGCAAGATACGGAGGTTGACACATGCCCCTTTTTGTGTCAGTGGGTCAGAAGACCAGTCCTTGAAATCGCCGCCTCTACTTCTACACACCTAAAGAGCCAACTCATCCTCTCTGCACAAGCCACTTGGGCCAGCTTATCCCTGTCCTACTCTCCTTAGGAAGTACCTTTTATTAATAACCGTATTTCTATTAATGCAATACATGTGGTGACATCAATCTTGACATCAGATCCTATTTGGGGTAGAGTGTTAATCCTGCCCACAAAAGACTATGATAAAACAGAAAGTAATCCATCAAAATATCTTTGGGTGACAAATAAGTGTTCAAGGTAGGTAATTTTTATAAGATGAGGATAAAATACAAATGCAGAGATTTCAGTATGATGATGTTTTTAGCTGCATTACTCACAAAAGAAAAACTTTGAAATCATCCACATGGTTACTAGAAATAGAATCTATAAGTGAAAATAGTATAGTGTCACAAGGAAAAATACAGAAGCACAAAAGTGAATGGATGATTTCTGTTCTAATATGTAAAGTGCTCTAAGTGATCATTCTCATCTTCACAAGAAAAAAAGATCAACCTGAAAAAACATCACCCCTTCATAGAGCCGTGAGAGATTTGAGATTACATAACAGAGCAATATCTACAAAATAAGAGACAAGCGAATGCAAGGAAATACTGCTGACCTGGAGGAGAAACGAGGGGAACAGCAACCTTTAAGACATAAAGTGTCAATGACGAATTAGCTGGCACCATATGGACTAACTTGAACATTTAAAGCTTTATGGATCCAGTCTTAGGGAATCTCCCCAAATTCATGAATTTTTCCTGGAGAAGCCCAAGCAGATTCTCATTGTGAAGACTGGAAAAAATTGCCTCATGCTTTATGTAGCAAACAAGGGGAAACATTAACATATACTCAAAGCATTCTGTTCTCTATAACTTAAGCCATCTCTCAAAGAAAACTAATTCTCCAAACCTGATCTAATTGTAGAAAGAACTGTCGGACAATCCCCAGACCCTTCAGATTTCCTCTCTGACAAAAGAGGAGGAATCAATGCAAAGGACCTATTCTGAAGTTCACAGCCCAGGGATTCTGTCTCAGAAAACATGACAGGTTAATCAAAACATAAGAACATTTTTTCCTACCCAGATACCTCCCATCATGTTTCTAGGTGGGAACACATTTTTTTTTCGGGGTGTGGGAGGGTGTCTTTCTTAAACACATCATGAGAGAAAAATACAAGGACACTATTATATTAAAGCCTCTGACACATACAGCTAGCACATAAAATAACAATCTAATACCTGTTTAAGAAATTATACGACCGCATATAAAGGCCTGTTTACCTCAAATCTTACTATAAATTTCACAAATATGTGGAAATTAAATACTCTTGAACAACCAATAGCTCAAAGAGTAAATCAAAAGAGAATTTTTAAATATATTTTGAGGCAATGAAAAAAATGGTGAAAATTTTTGGGGAGAACCATATGAAGCAGTAAAAGGGAAATTTATAGTATTAACACCTATATTAAAAAAAAGATAAAGTAACCTAAATTTAAACATCAAGAAACTAGAAAATTTAAAAACCTTAAGTTAGCAAAAGTTCAAAAATAATGAAAATTAGAGCAGAAATAAGTTAAATGGAATATAGAAAAACACCAGCAAATATCAAAACTGTTGGTTTTTTGAAATAATAAAATTGATAAACTCTTAAATGACTATCAATAAAAGAGAAGACTCAAGTACCTAAAATCAAAAATGAAAGAGGACATTTGCAACAAATGCTTAAAAGATCAATATTGAGTATTATGAACATTTATAGGCAAACAAATTGGATAACCTAGAAGAAATGGACACATTTCTGGTAACGTACAACCTACCAAGAAGAACCATAGCCAATTTAGGCTCTCTGGGTTGTGGATATACAGACATGCAAGAAAGAAGTTCTTGCACTCCTGGTACTTACATTTTTGTGGGAAAAGAAAGCTGGTTAAATGAGAAAGCTTAGGTTCCTAAGCAGAAAATAAAGGCGTTGAAAAGGAAGAAACAATGACAGGTGAGATAATAGGGAACTGGGGTGGATTGTATATTTTTCCTTATGAAGAGTAGGGTCCTCAGTGAATGAGAGTGTCATCACTGACCATTTTTTCCCCATCATCTAATCTACTTGGGTGTGGATGTAAAGAATGGACAGCAATACTGAAATTCCTGCATTCTTGAGATTAACAGCAGTGGTCGTCATTTTGAGTAATATCCTAATGTAGTGGTTTGCTATACATAAAGATAAAGACGTAGACACAGTCTATCTTCATTATTGTAGCCATGATTTAAAGTTTTAGAGCATATGCTAGTTAACTGTGAGTGTGGACAAAGGTAGGCGGGATGTGAGTCTTCCCATTAGTTTGGGCCACGGGTATTTGGTATTTATATTCCTGCTTAACATTCGTTGAAAGGATTTTAAATTGCCTTCTGAAATGGTGTATCACTTTGCTGCTATTTAGACCACGTGACACTATTTGACCTTCGAGTTCCTCTCAGATTGAAGAAGGGTTCTGGTTATCTGCGCAGTTGTAGCCCATCATGGGTCTTCTAGGAGTAGAGTGATATCTGTGCAAGTCCAATGTGATTTCCTGGTTAAAATACCAAAAAGAGCTATGAATATTTAGAGGACAGTGACTCAAGGAATAATTGAGGTGAGCTACCATCATAGAGTGTCATTTTGAGTAATATCCTAATTCAGTGGCCAAGGAGGTATATTTGACATCCCCGAACTGGAATTTTTTTGTTTGCCTTCTTATAAAATGAGTAGCTAAAAGGTTTTTGTTTCAATGATGCAGAAAGCCACTAAAGCCCATTTTTGCTGTTTTTAAGGATCGTTTCCATGTGTTTACACTTCCAAGAGATGTCAGGAAGATGAGGTAAATGGTGATAGCTTTTGTTTTATTAAATAGCAAAGGAAATTCAGACCTGGTTTCTGTTTTTCAGTGCTAATTAATGTTTTCTTAGCTATATAGCGATTATGTGATTTTGTAATTATAGTACCTCATTTGCTCTGCTCCCATCATTTCTCCTATCATGCAAATGAAGAAAGTTAAACACAATCTTACCCAAATTAACATAACTTGTAATAGTGGAATCTCTCAGTTTTAAAGGTATAATCTGTGCCCCTCTTCAGTGCAATGTCAAAAATTTTAGACTCAGAATACTGCAAGATTTGCATAATTATGCACTTTTACAAATGTGGTATCAAAGTTTTCAAACAGGGCTTATAAGGCAACATGTGGTATCAAAGTTTTCAAACAGGGCTGATAAAACAACAGAGTTTTCAAACAGGGCTTATAAGACAACTTATATACATTCTGGAAAAGGCAAAGGTATAGGAACCTCAAACACATCAGTGGTGAAAGGTAGGGGGTTCAGTATAAACGGGAACCACAAGAATATTCCTTTGGGCTGATGGAGTGTTTCCCATCTTGATGGAGGTATAACTATGCATTTGTGAAAACTCATAACTATACTCTTAAAACAGTGTGTGTATATACTAAAAACAATTCATTGAAAACAATAAAAATGTTTTCACATGCTGGGAGAAAGTTAAACTCTCCCAAACTTCCTTCCACCACTTCAGTGTCCTTAGAAAGAACTGAAAGGTCTGGCAAAGAAGGACACGGGCCACAACAAGACTTTCCTGATACCAAGTTTGACATTAAGAAACACCCTCTAGGGCTTCACCTGCCCTTATTCACACAACTGGTGAGAGTATGAATGTAAAAAAATAACCGCAATTTAAAAAATTATATTATTTTTACCTTCATTCATTGAATCAACTACTTCTGAGAAAAATAACTCCTATAATTTTGCTTTCATTGAGTTCTGACGGAGCCATGCAGGCTGCCTGTATAGTGTATACAGCTAATGCTGATGTAACCCCTTGAGGTCTCACCAGACACAAGATAGTCACATCCAAGATGGATTGCTCTCAACCCCCAATTGAATTGGGAGTGGGTTTAAATGTTCCCACTAAATTCGTGTTTGCCAAGAACCTCAGAATTTGACTTTTATGGAAATTAGTTCTTTACAGATGTGAATAGTTAAATATCTGAAGACAAACTAATCCTAAATTCAATGACTGATGTCCTTATAAGAAGAGATGAGGACACAGAGACATGGAGGGAAGACCATAAGAAAGACAGAGGCAGACATTGGAGTTATGCCGCCACAAGCCAAGGAATGCAGGAACCACAGGAGCTGGAAGAAGCAATGGAGAATTTCCTGCTGTTGATAAACTGTGAATCAATGTAGGACTCCCCATTAATTCTCGCTGAAACCATCAAACCTAATAGTACCTGTCTTAAAAATTTCAGTTATCATGTGGCCTATCAAATGGGTGTCCTTAAGGTCACTGACCATGCTGGATGCCATCATTGAAATTTCTCAGGTCCCCAGTTATCACAACTGACCACCTTCATTTTTCAATGTAATTCACTGAAATCATGGTCTACATCTGGGAGTTGATCAAGAATAATTTAAATGCACGAGGGAGAAAACCCAACTAAAATTAACTTAAGGTAAAATAATTTAATAGACTATAAAAAGAGGGAAAAAAAGATTCAAGGAAGGAAGAAATCAGCTCACATCACTGGACTTGAGGAGTAGATATGTCCAGGCACAGATGCATGCAGTATACAAATGAGGGGGCAGGCCTTGTTCTGACTATCCCTCACATCTACCCACTGAGGCTCTCCTCCCAGGTGGCCTCAGACTATGTCAGTCACTCCTACACTGTGACCTCACACAGCCCCACTTCCTAGAATTCCAGGTCTGACAGGTAAGAGTCCTGCTTAGACCCAGCTCCACCTCCAGTTCCATAAAAGTTCCTGTGCCTGGATCCTACTGGACCAGAGAGGGCCATGTGACACCCCCTTATCCCAGGAACTTGGGGATGGAAAATGGAGATTAGCTTACACTGAAGAGTTAGAACCCCTTAGTCCTGGGGTGAAGTCAACCCCATACCAAAGCTGTGGGCTCTGGGAGGGAGCCACCATTATGTTAAATTCAGGAGCCCCAAGGCATAGCTGTCCACCTCAGATCACTACACTTGTTTCTCAGTCGGACTTGACCCTCTGAAACCAGGCCTCCTTCTCCACCTCGGCTAGAACTGCTCTATCCAAAGTTCAAGGAAGTCCAGAAAATCTTTCCAAACTCAGAACACTCCTTTTCTGTCTTGACCTATCTTTCCAAACTCAGAACACTCCTTTTCTATCTTGACCTAGTAAAAGAGTCTCCATATTTCATAACTAATTTGACACTTTTTCTTACCAAATATTCATTACATGTTGATTGAATAATTACGATGTGCCTTATGCTGTGAGCAGGTGGACAAGTTTCCTCTGCTCAGGACTGAGTGTCAGTGCTCAGGCAATGAGGCTGCTGTGAAGGTTCTCTCTGCCTAATACATTCCCAAACAACATTTCATTCTTAAGAATCTAAGGTTAACTCTAGCTCTTTCCGCTATCTTGGAGCCCGTGGAGACCTACTGGGAACAAGACTTCTAAAATGACCAATGTGTTTGGAAGGCTGTGGTCCAAAGTTGGCTGTAAGCAGCGTCTCCAGAACCAGAGGGCACGCAGAGCTCTTTTTAAAATTGAAGGTGTTTATGCTCGAGAGGAAGTTCAATCTATCTAAGCGAGAGATGTGCTTATGTGTACAAGGCAAAGAACAGCACAATGACTCCTGGTGGCAAACCAAACAAAACCAGAGTAATCTGGGAAAGGCGACTCATGCTCATGGAAACAGTGGCATGCTTCGTGCCAGATTCCGAACCAACCTTCCTGCTAAGGCCATTGGGCAGAAGGGGGGGGGGTGAGGAGGGGAGGAGGACGAGGAGCAGGAGGAGGAGGAGGAAGAATCTAAGGTTAACTTTAAGCAAATTACCCAGGTAATTCTTAAGTAACAGATAAGGATGTAACAGGTAACATAAATGCTAATTAAATTATGTAAAAATGTCATGTCTGAATGAGCATTTAGCAAAAAAATAAAAAGATACAATTTATGTTAGAATGAGATGTAAAAACAAGCTCAGAAAAATCAGATTTTTATGAAATCACATTAATTTATTGTTAAAAATCTCTTTAGAGTAGGTGTCACCTTTTCTATGAGTGTAAGTGTTATAAAAATATAAGTAAACACACCGAACAATTCCTCAGGCTAAGTTACTGCTGCAGAATTTACTATGAAAGTGAATAAAAATCATGGGAAACAGATAGTGAGGTGTACAAAGATAAGATCTCTTTTCTTCTCACTTGAAACCCAATCTCTCACCCACAAAAACATCTACTACTCATATTTTTATCTCTCAAAAAGTTTAATAAAGTACAATTTTAATATAACAAAGCATCACAGTCCAGAGCGAGAAATAGGGTTGACACTATAGGAGGCAGGTAAGATTGAGTGAGGGTGGTCTCAAGGTGGACCACTTCCCAAGGACCACACCACCCAACTTCTTCAGCACGACCTTCTCCTGATTTTCATCTAGTTTGTACAACATTCTCACTGCCAACTGGCTCCCTCTGCCTCCCTGGCCAGCCTGTCTGCCCTCAAGGCCATAGCCAGTCTCTCTCTTGCCTTTTTCACTTTCCAGGTCTGTCTCCGGATATCTCCAGGGGTGACAGGTTGTCCGCAGAGAAACTGACGGAGAGAGAGATCTGCTGCTGGGATCAGCTCTGCCCAACCTGAAGACCGTGCAGCGGTGGGCCCGGGGCTGGTGTGTAGAGACCCAGCACCGGCACCATCCCGGGATTCACATGCACTACCCGGTGCAATCATTTTTATGACATTTGTGATATCCAGAGCACTTAAAGGTTCTCCTTCACTACTACAGGCCTGGAGTCCCTGCAGTCTCCTGTATGCACAGACTTGCTGGGGCTTCTCCAGGGTCTCATCCCATTGCCTGCGCCGGACCTCACTGCCAGGATGCGAAGTTATCCTTGTGACCCGCCTTTTGAAAATGCAGCTGGTCAGCCTCATAGGAAGTGCAGACCTTTCACGATGTCTCCGCTTGGTCTTGGCTAAATGGACTTCTCTTTTCTTTTTTAACGTCTGAGGCATCATATTTCTTATGAGCTTCCCCTTTGAAAACAAAATGAAATGGGAAATTCGAATAAAATGAGAGCTGAACACTTTCAGTTCGTTTGGATTTTCTACCCTCCACTCTCCCTGGCGAAATGTGTCTCAAATTGCACTGCGCATCGCCCTCATCTGAAGAGTTGTTAAAACTCAGTTTTCTGAATCTCAACCCAAATAGGCCTGGGGTGGGGCCACAAATTTGCATTTCTAGTATTCACAGATGATGCTGCTGGCACAGGCACCCAACAGTGAGAACCAGATCTTGAGAGGATACCAAGCACAGATGAGTCAAGGACAGGAAGTTCGAAGTCACTACCAGTGTCAGTTCCAGACCATTTCCCTCTGCCATCCTCCTCTGAGGATGTTTCCCTCTTCTCATCCTTTTCAATGTCAAGTACACACATGCTGGTGCCCATAACCCACTGTCATATGCACACCAGGATCACGAGTTTCTTTATATCCCAAGGCTTCCGGTTTTTCTTCATCTCTTTTTTACTGTGCTTTGGGGCACACAATCATCTAGTTTCTGTAGTCTTTTAGTGCCTCATCTCTAGTAAAATCATGTGCCTTTCAACCTCTAGATACTCACTTTCACTTACACACCCAAGTCCCATTTTTATTCATATATTCTCTGTTCGTAAATAAATAACTCAGAAGCACCATATTCCCATCACACAGGCTTTTTACACAAATACTTCTACTACAGATAAGTATTCTTACTTCCTTGATTCTTTTCCTTCTCTCCTCACATGCCTACCTGTTAATCTCAGCTCTTCTATCTGACTTAACACAATTCATGCTTCTTAGAAGTCAATTCTGCTCTCACATTTGTTCTGCATCCACATCTTTTCTAGATAATCTCAGCCAGTCTCCTGCTTCAAATACCATCAATGAACTAGAAATGTCCATAGCAGCAGTGTGATCTGACTTTAACCCTGAAACTCAAAATATCCATCTGCCCAATCACCACATCAGTGGTAATATCGGTGACTCAGCTGACAGTGACCAGGTGCCACACTGAACCAACCAGTTCCTCAAATAATTCACCGCTATCTCAGCATCTCTTAAAGTCACTTACTGGTGCTAATATCTTTTCTAAACCTGAGTATCATTCTGGATATGCTGCTACCCCACACCCATATTAATGAGCCATCCATCCACCATCCTGAATTCATGTAAAGATTCTTGACTTTTGAATAATTCTTGGGCATCTTTCAGATTTCCTACAAAATACTATTTCTACAGAGTGACCTTTTCTGACCCAGTAATCAAAATTAATATTATATTTTATGTTAATTTTTTTCAATTTTTATTTATTTTGTGTTATCTATTTCTTTCACATTGTTTTTTAAGTTGGATACTCATGAAGGGAATTCTAACATGGACTTTAATATTTTGTATTGTTTTTTAAGTTGGATACTCATGAAGAGAATTCTAACATGGACTTTAATATTTTTGCTTTGCCCTTAGATGGTGCTCAGATGTATTTATTGAAAGAAATTATTCAAACAAATTCACTCAACCACAATTATACAATGATATGATCTCTTGAATGTTATACTGCAATATATTATCATAACTTAATATTTCAAATTCTGTCTCTCTGTAATCCAGTATAAATCTCTGATCACAATGATCTGTTTAAAATGTAAAACTAATCAGAGCACCTTTCCTTTTAAATTCCTCACTTCTGTCTTCATTAAAATTTTTTCAAGGGAAACCATAAATCTTATTGTATTTCTGTTATCCTGCCATAATTACCAATATTACCCATTTCGTTACCCAAGATGTCCTAGTTTTGAGGGAAAGTTATTTGATCCTCCTATTTACAGAGCATTTCTTATATGCCAAGTTGTGTAATAAAACCAGTGATTTAGAATTTAACTTAACAGTACTGCCCCTGTTGATTTTAATCTGGGTGAGAGGAAAGAGTTAATAGACCAATTAATGTCTAATGTAGAGTTAGGTATTATTAAGTGATGTGAGAAACAGTAAGTTCAACACAGAGACAGAGAAAGGGGGAAGGATGGAAGATCAAAGGTTAGGAGAGACAAAGAGAGAAAGAAAATAACTACAATTATTGATGATGAATAAATTAGGGAAGAAGTGTCTGAAGACATGAAATTTGTGTACAAAACTGAATTTTTGTTTAAACCAAGAAGGATATTGTGTGTAAAAATATTTGCAGAGTGAAGAACAATTTAAACAGTGCAGGGTTAAATACTACTTCAATTCTTCATGATGACGTTGGTTAAAAACAAAATAAAACCAAGACAAAACAAAAACATCAGGCCTATTATCCTAAGAAAGCTTCATATGCAAAAAACTACAATATCCTGAACATTACTTAACAAACATTAATACCTAACAAATGACCTTATATAAGAAATTTTCTTGTTTTAAGAGCAACAGTCTGCTAACTTCAACAAGTTTTGCATAAAGAAAAAGTATACAAATGTACATTCTTGCTGTCAATATAAATTCTGCACTCACCAGAAAAAGCCCATTTGTAATGCAGGTAGATGCAGGTTCCCCCATGGCTGCAGAATTGTTTTGCTGACCCCACTCCTAAGATGCAGACAGCCTGTGGCTTGAAGGAAAATGCAGTGACTTCTGCCTCTGATTCCCCTTTTATGGAAGGGAGTAGATAATCCAATCATCAGATAATCCCGAGGAGACATCCTGTCTCATATCAATGGGATTTGACCTCTTCCCAAGTTTCTTTATACAGAAACAAAAATATGAGGTTCTGACATTGTCTAATACTGGTGTATATTTTAAAAATTAATACACTTGTAGCTGGGGGTGGTAGTTACAGTTTTTCTCAACATTTTAATATATTTATTTTTTGTTATTAGTTTACTGTAAACAGTACATTTGTTAGACATTTATATAGTTTATGAAATGATCTCCTCGATTACTCTTTCCTCTGGCTCTCCCCCTAGCCGTTACATTAATGCTAACTGCATTCCCTATACTGTGCTCTCCATCCCTGTGACTATCTATCAACCACTAATTTGTACTTCCTTAACCCTTCACCCCATTCTCACAACCACCCAACCCCCCTTCCCACAGGCAGTCACCAGATTGTCCTCTATATTTATGAGTCTCTTTTTGATTAGTTTGTTCTTTTTGTTCCTTAGGTTCCACATATAAGTGAAATCACATGGTATTTATCCTTCTCTGTCTGACTTATTTCACTCAGCATAATAACCTCTAGGTCTATCAATGTCATTGCCAATGATAGGATTTCATAATTTTTTTTTACAGCTGAGTAATGTTTCATTGACTATATGAATCATAATTTCTTTATCCAATCATCTGTTGATGGGCCTTTAGGTTGCATCTATATCTTGACTATTGTAAATAGTTCTGCCATGAACATAGGGGTGCATAGATCTTTACAAATTATTGTTTTAGGAGGCAAGAATATGCAATGTGGTAAAGACAGTCTCTTCAATAAATGGTGTTGGGAAAACTGGACAGATACATGCAAAAAGATGAAACTGGACAACTTTTTTACACCATACACAAGAATAGATTCAAAATGGATTAAAGACTTAAATGTAAGTCCCGAAACCATAAAACTTCTAGAAGAAAATATAGGCAGTAATCCCTCTGATGTTGCTACTAGTAATTTCTTTTTGGACATATCTCCTCGGGCAAGGAAAACAAAAGAAAAAATAAACTAATAGGACTACATCAAACTAAAAAGTTTTTGTACAGCAAAGGAAACCATCAATAAAATAAAAAGACAACTGAATAAATGGGAGAAAATATATGCATATGATACATCTGATAAGGGGTTAATATCCAAATATACAAAGAACTCATACAACTCAACAACAAAAAAACAAATAATCCAATTAAAAATGGGCAGATGGCCTGAACAGATACTTCTCCAAAGAGGAAATACAGATGGCTAATAGACTTATGAAAAAGTGCTGGTGAGGATGTAGAGAAAAGGGAACCCTCATACATTGTTAGTGGGATTGCAAATTGGTACAGCCACTATGGAAAACAGTCTGAAGATTCCTCAAAAAATTAAAAATGGATATACCTTTTGATCTAGCAATTGCACTTCTGGGTATATATCCAAAGAAAACCAAAACAATAATTTTTTTTTCATCCACTTTGGCAATTTTTCTGTAAGAACAGGAATGGGAAGTTTCTATGCACAAGAATTTTTATACATTTGTATTTTAATAGGAAAAAATTGGAGACTGATTATATGTCTATCAATATAAGAATGTCCAAAATATTTATTAGCAATTCTATAGAATATGTCACATAGCTGTTATAAGTCAATCAATATTTGTGTATTTTCATTTTCACTTAATTACTGATAAATTTGGGAATATTTCAATCATCTTATTTTTTCCCTTCCTTTTGACTTAACTAGTATTAATGTTCCTTTACTCTTTGCTTCACTGACTTTAACTATTTTATTATTCCATCTATAAACTTGTTAGTTGTAATCATGTACAAGTCTTTGTGTAATTACACTGAATACATCATGAATCACTTATTTAATATGGTCTAATATGAATAATTACTTTTACCACCATCCCAAATGCAAATACCTTAAAATGCTTTAAATTCTATTTTTAATCTTTTTGATTTTTGCATTACTGTTGTCAGGCATTTTAATTCTACGTGTATTTTAATATTCATGAGCGATTTCAAGAATTGCTTCATAAAACAAAATTCATTTGTATGAAAGTATAAATTATCTTTTCTTTCCTTCTTCATTTGTTCTTGCATTCCTAGTTTTCAACCAGGGATTATTTTCCTTTGGACTTAATAATTCACTCCAGTATTTTTTTCTAGTTCAAGTTAGCTAACAATTAAATGTTCTACTTTTAGTTTTTTTTAAAGTCTACTTTATTTGGGGCAATATTGCTGCTGAATGTAGAATTCTGGTTTGGCGTAAGGTTTCATTTAGCATTTTTAAAATGATTCTTTGTTGATGTGTATCTTATTTATGTTTAGATGTCACCTATTGGACTTATTCTTGCTTATTTGGTCTCTGTATCTTCTAAAATCTTTTACATTACTTTGGTTTTTAGGCCATAATGTAACTCCTTATTGTTTCCTGTGTATTTATTCTTCTTAGGAAATTTCGAGCTTATATGGATTGATGCCTTTCATCAATTTGGAATATGCTTGTGCATTTTCACTTCTGATATCAATTTCTCCCACATTCTCTCCAGTCCCTTTTAATCACATCTCATGTGTCATTTAATTCTGTCTTGAGTTTTCAATCTAGAATTGGCACATGTTACTCAGAAACAGTGGATACTTGCTTCTTCTAGTGTGTCTAGAAAGAACATATTTTACTCATCATTTTGATATAGGTTACAATTCAAATAATAAGGTTGGATTTCTTGAGTTAAATAAATTGTTATAAAAGTACACTTGCTCTATTCGTGTTTATTTTTGTGTTTATTTTTTAAACGTGTTTGTTTGAAATTTTTAAATCACATTGTAGAAACGTTGTTTCTATTGGACTTGGATAAGTAAGCGCACAAGAGTGAATGAGGGTGAATTCCCAAGGCAAAGGAAGCTCTGCCATCCCTCTAGTAGATGCAACTCACCCACCCTGGCAGCGCGCGCACACACACACACACACACACACACACACTCACACTCGTATTCACACATATAATTACAAAGGCACATTCATAAATCCAATCAAAATCGGCCTGAGATTAACCCCAAATTCTCTTCAGAATTTCTCAAATGCCAAGATGTTGTTTATCTACAAAGTTCTCCTGTTCGCTCTCAGAAAAGGAACCCAGAAGCCAGCTTACTTGAACAATTTAGTGAATTCAAAACTAGATATTCTGTCAAGAATTCTTGTTTATTTACCTCTATTTCTCTATCTTGGCACCACAACACTTAAATATAACATTTCCCATTATACTCTTTTCATAAATCCATTTTTTTTTTAGTATATAAAAATACTGAGTGATGTCAGAAACATGGCTGAGAGAGAGATGTCCCCAGATCTCTCCTCTTGAAACAATAATAAGCTGAACATCTAAAACTCAATAAAAAACACCCAAACTGCACAGCAGCACATCTGAGTGTGAGATCTGTGCATAAGAGCTACTGCAGATCAGAACCCTGTGTGTTGGGCGGTGAACTGGGAGAAACAAAAAAGCTGCCTCTCCCAGCCAGAACTCCCTGTAGGAGGAGGGGGGAAGGGAGAAGGTGTACCGAGTTTCCTAAACAACCTTGCCTGGGAGAGCTGTGAGCTCCACATGGCCAACGGCAGTGTCCACTAATCAGGGCAGAAGGCAGAGAAATGAGGATGGCAGAAAAGTGGATATGGCAGGGAAACAACCGTTGATTTTTACCAGCCATGGTTGCGAAATGCCAGGCTGAGCCACAGCCTCCATTCTCCAACCCAGAGGATCCCTCCTCCCATACCCCATAAGAGAGAACACATGGAGCCCCAAGGGAATCTGAGCAAACGCTACCAATACTGTCGCTAATACTGTCAGGAACTGAGACTGAGGGTAGTGAGCCTGATTAAACACCTATAAGGAAAAAAAAAGACATTATTAGACTTCATATAAAGTAGAGATCCAAGAGGCTTAGATGTCACCTACTGGAAACCAAAAGAAAAACACCTTCCTTGCAACAAGCTAGAGAGATTGTATAATAAACCTTCATTCCAGAAAAAAAGCAGAATACACTTCCATTAATTCCCAGGCAGAGAAATAGGTCATTAAACACCATGACCC